CCTTTCTTTAGATTCATTTATAATCATAGTTTAATGCTTGATGCATTATATAGATTTGATTATATTATACTCTCCCACTCGTCATTCTTAATAAACTTTACTATAATTACTCTGGCCAAGTAACTTATTATAACGTTATTAAGCACTCACCAGCTCTTCTAAGAACTCATATAAAATGGTAACAGTATAATATTCTCAACACAAATTTTATATTGAAAACTTGAGGAAAATGATTATAACATTTCAAAATAGTAACTTATTAGTTTTTTGTATATAATAAGATATTATTACAATTGTGAAGAATATTGTAATATTTTACATAAAATATTTGTCAATGTTATCTTTCACAACAAGTATTTATAAAAATGACTTGTAAACTTGCAAGAAAAAAATTATATATTAACTAAACTCAAAATTTTTTTAGATGAATCTTATTGTTATTTTTATTAAACTAGTAATAATATATAGTTATCATAATATGATGTTGTTTTCTCACTGAAAGGTGATTCTCTTATTATAATTTTTGATGCAATTGTGATTGTATGATGTTATGATTCAAATATTCTATAACATAATTATTTTATTGATATTTAATTACTTTTATTATATTTAATATTTTTAATAATTTAAATTTATTTAAATTAATTAATTATTATTTAATTATTGAACAAAATTGAAATTATATAACTTTTTCATGTGATTTGAACATGTAGTAATATTTTGTAACATGTTGTAATGTTTTGTAGCATGTTGTAATATTTTATAATATGTTATAATATTTTGTAACATGTTGTAATATTTAGTAATATATTGTAATATTCAGTAATATACTGTAATATTTAGTAATATATTGTAATGTGTAAACAAAATTATTATATATTATTATCATTTTATATGAGTTCTTGGGAGAGTTGGTGAGTGCTTAATAATATTATAATAAGTTATTTAATTAGGATAATTAAAGTTTATTAAGGATAACAGGTGAAAGAGTATAATATAATCAAATACATCAAGTATTAAATTATAATTATAACAAGTCTAAAGAGAGGTAACAGTATGTTCATGATGTGATCAGCTAGAATAAGATCTGGGATTTTTAATAATAATATTTTGTTAAAGAATTTTATATAATAAATATGTAATTTTATTATAAGATTATAATAAAATATAATTTTATTATTAGGTGAATTTATTATTAATTTATTACATGTTTTTAATTATTATTTATTATTTTTGAAATCCTGAGAGTTATTGAATCTAAGAGCTAAGCTAAGCTATTAATTTAAGTTAAGATACAAGCTATATTTATATAAATTATTGTTATTCAATTTTCAAATATTAAAGCTATTTTTGATTGATATTAAGGTTACAAAAAGTGCTCACTTTTTGGTTACACATCACTTGCTCACTTTAATATTATATAAATTTCATCATTAATATTAATTAAATTTGATTATGTAGATTAATAAACAAATCTAAGAATTAATAATATCTAATATATAATTGTTCAATAAAATAACTTTTATTAATGTTATATATTATTGATATTTAATTAAATTTTTTTTATTTATTATTGTAACTTATATAAAAATTTTTATTTTATTATAAGTTTATTTCTAATTATTTGATATTATATATTTAACTTTATTTTATATATTTATATTATATATTTCCTTTTAATATATAAATTTTCTAAGAATTTTATTTATTCTATCTTTTAGTCTTGATATATTAATTAATAATAATAATTTTGATCTTTTAGTTTTAGATTTTTTAGTTAAATTATTTTTTATTATTTATTTAATTCTTTTAGAACAATAAATTTATACTTTATATTAAAACTTCTTGTAAGTCAGCTTGTAAGCCAAATATAAAGATAAGTGACAAATAAAAATTTTGGCTTGTAAACCAACTCACAAGTAACTTTAGTTTATATATAACTTGTTTTTTTATTTATAATTTTCATTAATTTTACAAAGTTATTATAATTTTAAATTAAGAATTAAATATTATAATATTAATTTTTTATATTTGTTTCTTTATTAAGAATTTTTTCTTTAATTTTATATATTATTATATTTTTTATTATAATTTTTAATTTGGTTTTCTAAATTTTCTTGTAAATTTTTTTAAATAATTTAATAATTTCAAGTTTAAAAATTTTATTACTTTGTATACAATATATACTTTTTTATTTTTGTTACATTTATCTTATTAACCAATTTTTAATAATTTATTATTGATTTTTTATTTGATTTTAAAATTGAATATTCATATTTATTATATAATTTCACATTTAATATCATTGTATTATTATATAAATTAATAATTATTACAATTTATAATAATATAAATTATCTTTAAATATTTGATTATTATTATTTTTGAATTTTTTATTATGTTTTTGTTAAATTTTGATTTTTTTATATAAAAAATACAGTGATAATACAACAATATTCAAATTTATTAATTAAATATAATAAAATATAAATTTTTTTCTTTATATAAAAGTTTTCAATTTTACTAATAAATATTTTTCAGATTTTTTAAATTTAATTTAATAAAGCTGTTCTAATTGTATATAAAGTTAATTATTTTTTTATATGTAATTAGAAAACTTCATTAAATTAAATCTAAAAAATCTGAAAAAAATATATGTTAAAATATGTAATATTATTTTCATTTTAATATAAAAATAAAAAATATTTAATAGTAAAATTAAAAACTTATATATAAAAAACTTATATTTTATTATATTTAATTAATAAATTTTGATATTATTGCATTATTTTTGATTGTCACTGTATATATAATTTTATAATTTTGTTAATTATTATAAAAATATATATATAATTTTTTATTAATTTCTTGTAATAAAAAAGCTATTTTTTTATTTTTAGAAAATTTTATAATTATATAATTAAATTGGATATTTTGAATAATTAGAATTTTAAATTATTAAAATCTTGAATTATTAAAATTTTGAACATTCAAAATTTTGAATATTAGAATTTTTGGAACTTGAATCTTGGAAATGTAAACTACATATTCCTATACTATATTACTGGAAATTAAAAAAATATAATAAAACATAGTAAAATTGATATTGTTTCTTTATATTATTTTATTAATAAATATTTTTTATTTTTATACTAAAATAAAGATAATAATCTATATTTTTGATATATATTCTTCTAGAATATTCTAGAATTTTTTAGAATTTTTTGTTTACTTGTAAACACAGAAAAAAATTTTTTATAATTAAAATTGAAAAAATTGCAATTTTAATTATAAAAAAATTTTTTTTCATGTTTACAAGTGAACAAAAATTCTAAAGAATTTTAGAATATTCTAAAAGAATATATATTAAAAATATAAGTTATTATCTTTATTTTAATATAAAAATAAAAAATATTTATTAATAAAATAACAAATTTTAATATAAAGAAACTATATCAAATTTATTTCAATTTCTGGTAATATAGTATAGGTGTGTGTATTAGATTTTTTGTGGTTATCATATTTGTTATTTGTTAGAATTCTATAATATCAGAATCAACTATCAAGATATTTTAAGAATTCTATTAAATCAATTATTGAAATTTCTTTTAATAATTTTAAAAATATTGTAATGAATAAAAATTTATAGATATATATTATTAAATGATTTTAAATAAACATGTTTACTATAAGATAAACAGTATTAAAATAAAATCAAAATATAAGTGTTTATTAAAATTTAATATAACAAGATTACATAAAAGTTTGTAAATATATACAATCAAAGCTTTTTATAATCATTCCTATTATAATTATATTACACTCTTTCCAAGAGCTAGTTATAATAAAATCATTTCTCTATAATCACATTTAGAAAAATTATTGTTGGATCTGACAATATAACTATAAAGTTTACACAAATCAAAAATATCTTTTTCTGAAAAAATGAGTAAAACAAGATTCACGGTTCAATTTCATCAAAAAATTTACGTTACTAAACTAATAGCTTTGAGGTTAAATTAAAGGTTTAAATTTCTACAAAGTACTTTAATCCACGAAATACGGTATGATTGATTTTTGATGATATTGATTATTATCTAAATCAAATTTTATTCAAATTTCGAATAATTTCCATTACCTGGATATTTCTACAAACTTTCAAAGATGTCTAAAGAAAAGCTGTTCAACGAGAAAGAAATCATTCCCGACGGCGATTTTAACTTTATTATAAATGAGAAACTTGATTTTATTCAAGAGTGAGCTAAAAGATATTACAATAGAAAAAACGATATAATAACGTTTTTTGGGTGTTAACGAAATAAATAATTATATAGGTTGGAAGCCCATCTCTCGCTTTTAGACAAATATTTGGTTGACGACGAGACGGAAATTTGGCAGGTTGATGAGAAATGTCAGAAACTTGTGTATGAAAATAAGAGAATTCTTGATTTCTCCTATCTTTTTTTTTTTTTTCGATAAACGATGTTTTAATTCATACGATCAAAATTAAAGCGACAAATGTAGAAATCAAATGAAAAGGACAAAAAACGAATCAATCAAATGGGTAAAATTGATTTCCGACGCTTTATCCATTAGTGAGCAGGAACAAAAAAAAATTGCGTGTAAAGAGGACGATAAGATACAACGAATCCACACCAAATTGGATGAATGTAATAAAGAAAATTTTTAAATTTATCACTTGAAGAGGTTTATTACTGATATTTTAATTATTAAATTAGTGAAATACTCTATCAATAATCAATTTGCCCAGCATGTTCTTGATACACAAACTCAAAGTGAGAAGTATTTCCCACGTTTTTTAATTAAATCGCGATTTCATACTAAGATTTTTTCCTTCTTAAAAAAAGCGATGCAATTCCCTACTGAAGATAATTTCCTTGTGCTGTTTTCTTTCGTGAAAAATTCATGTAATCAAGCAAACAATAATAAAGATGAAAGCGACCCGTCACAGATTGAAGATGCCAAAGGAGATGGTCAATTAGGGCTTGATGAAAAGTTGCACCTCATTTTTTTATATTTATAAATTTAGTTATAGAACTGTGGTTTTTTGTATTAACTGTTTTTATATTTTTAATGAAGAGCATTTCGCGAAGTATTGGCCAATAGAATTCGCTATAATAGAGCAAAAATCAAAGGGTTGGAGCGAGAATTAAAGTATCGCGAATCAGTGAGTAGAATCATAATTTTATTATTGGTCACTATTTTAATTTTATTGGTCAATTTTGCAATTAGTGATTATAGTGATTTTTAAAGTATACAGATAATTGATTCTCGCTCATGTATGTAAAAGAATCCTGGAAAATTAAACCTTCGTTATTTTATTCAACAAAATTTTGCTATAATTTCATATACTCGTAGTCAATGATGGTCATATGAAATATTTCGCTCCAAATCAATAGTAACATTCTACATCCAATGCTTGAACTGAAGCTGGCCAGAGCATCATTTCAAGCTAAACGGTGCTTGACAAATTAAAAATTGAACTCGTTGGCGGAAGTGGGGAGTAGTTTATATTTAAATGTGCTTTCTAATCATTTTAGTAGAAGTACCGAATAAAAGACCAGGGGGATATTATACAATTATTATAGTACTCGGGATACTATTATAGATACCATGATTGGATAGGGATATTACACTCGGGAATATTTTGATTGGAGGAGGATATTATTTATTATCGAGAACAATATGATGAATATACGTAATATGTTGAACGTACCAGTACATATGTACCCGGGGTAACAAATTAATACACAATGTATAGTACACTAAAAAAGGAATGCTAAGGAGGATATTTTTATTCCGCAAAATACGGTATGTGTTGATAGTAATTAGAGGTGCAGACATTAGAACGTGAAATAACTTAAGTCATATGGTACATGCCATCTAAAGCCATCAACGTTTGTAACTTATAAAATGGATAAACTTCTTTACTAAGAAGTAAACACAAAATTTAATCTGTAAATATGATAGAATAGGCCCTTTCTGAGCATATTTACGGATTAAATTTTGTATTTACTTCTTAGTAAAGAAATTTATCCATTTTATAAAATACAAACGTTTGATGACTCTAGACGACGCATACCATAGACGTAACTAGCTACCCAAGTATCAATATGACGCTAGGATAGTTACCCTTGACCTGAGAAATGTTTGCACCTCTAATAGTGATATTGGGAATTTGATTTGCGTCTGTGAATTTTTCCACTGAAAAATGGTTCATATTAAAAAAGAAAACTCTTTATTCATTAAGGATTTTAAGTTTTACTATACTAAGACCAACTTCGTAGCTTTTTCTTTTCATGTACAGTCAGACCTCGATTTAATAATGGGTCGGGACATATAATAAAAATGTCACTATTTCAAGAGATTCATTAGAGTAAAATGTCACTATTTCAAGAGATTCGTTAGAATGTCATTATTTCAAGAGATTCGTTAGATTGATCTGATTTTATGTGCTCTTATGGAACGGGATTTAAGATCTCTTTTCCGGTGATTAATATATGCAGGCACAATTGTAATTTATTCTATCATTTATCGGCGATGAAATGACAGATGTCCGACTCTAGACTAATTCGAGTTGTTTCTAGAACTTTCAGGAAATTTTTCAATATACTTCGATAGCCCACTATATCATAAAGCATTCTTTAAAGTTCCCGGAATACTGTGAATAATTCTTAATAAGTACCGGTGGGTGAAGGTATTTTACGGGGGTACTTTAAGGATCATGTGATTATCCATAAAGAAACAAATACGTACATTTCTTGAGAGTAGCCCTTCGAACTGTTAGAATGAGTTTATTTGTTTTCTAGCCGTATGGCGTAAATTAGTGTTTCGGGCGAAACTAGTTTCGTCCGATTTGCTCTACAAAGTGTTCACAAATAGGGTTTCGGATAGTTTCGAACTTAGGGTCATAACATATATTACGTAAAATAGGTTACCATAGAGTCCACCCCAGGTAAGATATTTGAAACATGTGATTCTATATGTTATATATACATAAGACCACGCCCCCAAGGATATTAGGCAATATATGTCATGACCCTTATGGGGCGAAACTTTTTTGATTTGAAAAATAGTTTCGCCCGAAACACTAGAAGAAACTCATTTACCTTGATACATGTCCATATTTAGAAAAAACTATTGGTGGATATTGGTTATTCATTTTCATTTAGATCTTAGATTTTGAAAACATTGAATGATCGCGTGTTAGAAATTTCCCGAATAAATGAACTTGGTAATATATTACACACATTAAAAAAGTCACCAGACTAAATCTAATTAAATCTAATTAATTATTTATTTATTGTTTTGCCTAACAATGTTCATTACTGATAATCAAAAAATGATCACGTTGCATTATTTTCTGCAATGTGACGGTGTGTCAATGAGAGATTAGATTTTATTGCATGCAAAGGATAAATAAATTAAGGGATGTGATAGGAGAAAGAAAATCGATCACACATGTTAGAGATTAGAATTAGACTACGTAATTAATTTATATTTATGTAGTAATAATATTGGTAACAAGTGATGATTCAAAATCATTGTCATCATTCTCGGACTCAAAAGCGTACGAGAAAAATATAAATAGATTCGAATATTGCATTTTACGTTCTCTACCCATTTACAAGTTGTCCTCGCTAGCATTGCATTTTACATTCTCTACCTATTTACAATAGCATTTACCTATTATTTTGACGAATATCATTATCATTCGATATTTTCATTATAACACACTCAAAAAATCAAGCCAAATTGATTTTCACATTAAAAACTATTCCCTTGTGAAGATCTTCAATTGAGAATTAGTTCACTGTACGTGTGGTGAAGATCCATATCATTTTAGGGTCACCAGCTGACCCAAGAATTCTGACGGGATAATCATCACGACATCATCGTCAGTCATAAATTGTCAACCCATATCCTACAACAGTACACAACATTTGGTGATATTTGTGCATTTGTGTGACTACGCCTCCTTGCACCATAACGATAACATAAAAAGAGCAAGAATTGACAACAAAAGAACATTTTTATTTACACCTGAACGATAGATAAAAATAATACGGTTAAATATTAAATATTAATACACATCTCCAAACTGCTATTCATTTGAACGGATAAACATTCGAAAAATCATAATAAATATGACACCGATACCATCTCCCGTTTTATACGCGATTCCGCATGAAATAATCAATAGATTAAGTACACAACGAGTAACAAGAGTTTCATTGAAACATTTGGCCACCGTTGGAAGGTAAGATAATAATCTACTGTTATTGATAATATTTTAACAATCAACTAATTATTTATACATAATTGTTAATAGACACGTACTAGAAGCAAAGAATAACACCCGCTTTATAATACCCGCCCAATTTCTCCATCAAGAACTTCCAATCCGTCTCTCACAAACATTAAAAATGTTAAATTCACCAAATATACCACACAACATGAATCAAACACCGACTTTCCAACGATTCCGTGAAAAATGCTACGAATCCATTTGTCTACTGACGTCAAGCCCGAAACCGGATACTCTTGCGGCCGAGCAATCATTCACCGCGTTGATCAGAAATATTCAACGACAACATCGATTGAGTACGCTTTCGTTTGGTCAGATATTCAAGGAGGTGATCGAATCGACGAATACCCCAATCGGGGCATTGGATACGTCGGACACGCAAGAATTTTTTGATAGGTTTTATGCAATGAATTTGGGCACTCGTCTATTGATTGGTGAACATTTGGAGTTGCATGATAAAGGCAGAAATTTGGTGCAAAGAATTAATCCGTTGCAAGTTGCTGAGCGTGCTATTCGTGATGCGCGAAGAACATGTGAAAAGCATTACAAGTAAGTTTATTATTTTTTTACCCATGACATGTTTTGCACTTATATTAATTAATTAATTAATTTTATGCTTAATTCCAAATTAGACGCCCGGCACCAGAAGTACAAATCGTAACACCAAGCGTTTCAATAACCACTACATACATAGCAGAACACTTACACCGCATTCTCTTTGAACTCTTAAAAAATTCTCTACGCGCCACTCTTGATTTCCACCACTCGAGCTCCTCACTCCCCGCAATAAAACTAATCATTGTCGATGGCGGCGAAGACGTGACAATTAAATTATCGGACGAAGGTGGCGGTATTCCGATATCTGCTTCGGAGAAAGTGTGGAGTTATGTATACAGCTCAATGCACAATTGTCCGACTACTACCGCTCAGAATTCTGAACATAAAGTGCCGCGAATTACATGGCAGTTTGATGAGAAAGGATTACAGCTTGAGGGTGAAGGAGCGCAACAAGAGGTTAACGATTATAAGGATATGCCGTTGATTAGTTATGGCCATGGATTACCCGTTGCTAGGTTAACTGCTAGATGTAAGTATTTTTACATTGACATTTATTTAATATTAAATAATAATCGAGTAAATGATGCTAATAATTATTATTTTTAGATTTTGGCGGTGATTTATCGCTCGTCTCAATGGAAGGCTACGGTACCGACACTTATCTTTCACTATACCGCGACGATACACATCTCGAAAATTTCCCAAATATTCCGAATGACGGATTACTGTGGCTCAATAATAACGAGAACACGATGGTGTGATAATAAATGAATAAAAAATAACATTTATTGAAACGACAAAAAGTATATTTTTTGTAAAATTAGTAATAAATAAACCATAATACATTGAAAATTAGATACATCCTTTTCTTCTTTCTTGTATATAGGATTCTATCACTCTTGCATTACTCGCAAGTTTTTCTATTCGTTGTAGTTAGATTTTTCCTAATCTGTGTATTTTTTTGTAATTAATATTTAAACTATGTAATAAGGTAGCGGTAGAGCACAAATAGTAAATTAACATACGAGGCTATTACGTAGATTGGTAACTAAAGTTTTTAAGAAATTGCACTGGTGAATCTTCATTATTTTTCGGAAAAATAATTGGTTACTAAAAAAATTGGACTGAATTAAGGTTTAAATTTTCTACTATATTCGGCGCTTTACGGTACATTTATGCGAGTGAAAAAGATAACGATAACAACTTATATATTTAGTAAAAAAAGATAACGATAACAACTTATATATTTAGTAAATATACATTTGTACGCGTCTTCCATATGAATCATTTGCTAGAAAAATTACACATTAGTTATTGATATCACCACCTCGTTAAACCGAAGCACTAATTAAAACCGGGAACAGTTATAGAAATCCGCTTCGATAAACCGAATTTATTAAATAAACCTCGGTAAATCGAATTTTCTACTAACAGTCACAACCACTTCGGGTTATCGAGGTTGCCTTTATATCATATTGTTAATGTTTGAATAGAGACCGCGAACGATTCCTCGTCCAACGACGTCGGTGAGGGCTCAAATTCGCCGCTGCTGATGTGCCGGCTGCTGAAATTACTAAAAATACATATAATAAAAAAGATTAAAAATAATTGATTAAGTTCCTACATTTACTAACGACAAAAATGCATACTAGGTCCAGGCATCAATGTCACTATGTCCCTCGACAAAGTGTTAACAATCATAAAATCAACGTCCTTAAAAATCTGAACATGCTGTTTTTTGTTGTCAGTTGTATATGTACAATCGCCAATTGCATGAATCGTGTAAATTCCCGTCGCCAAATCATTATTATTAAGCTGATGACCTTTAGGCACATAAAATTTAGGATCAAGAAACAATGTAGTATTAAATGCTCGATCTTCTTCGAAATCTTGTCGATTGGTATTGTAAAAATCGTCATCGACTATTTTTCTAGTATCGGCATCTAAAGTTTGTAGCGTTACATTTTCGAGAAGTGCAAGACCTTCGTATTGGATTTTTATGGTGATTGGAATTGTTGAGCCGATAGCGAATTGTTGATATGTTGTTGGCGATATTATATATATTTGGTCTAATAGAATAATAGAATCATTAATGAAGCGGAAATAGTTTTTTATATGATCCAATAAATTGAAAATTTATAATTACCTGACTTTATATCAAGAATACATAAAAAGAGGATAGTTAGAAAACACCACAATAAATTTATCGTCTTCATTTCCGAAAATTCTTTATAAGAAAGTGACTTTGTTTAGTTGAGAACACAGATATATACATGTATTGAAGTTTGGCTGTGCGATCTACAATGATAAAAAGGATGACAGATTTATTAATGACATTTTATATCCAAAAATGAAATACGTAATAAAGATATATATACATATGTAGTCCAAAAATAATGAAAAATACTGTATTAGAGTATTTCTAATCGAGAGTTTAGACTTTTTAGGAGTGGCTTGGACCGCTAAATCTGACAACTACCCACGCTCACGTGTGGCGCCAACCAATAAATTTTTTGATCAAACTAGCAAAAATTAATTTTTTCAATAGCGATAGTTATTATTTTCGCCGGATCTTAAAAAGAAACGCAATCTGTTTCGATGATTCTTTTCCGTTAACAATCGAAAAAAAGCAGTGATTTTTTGTTTCGCGAAACCTACTTCATATGATATTATTATAGTTTACAAAGACATATCATGCATTATTCAAAAAGAGCATTCAAACACAAGTCATCAGCTTGATAAGAATACTTTTGAGCGCGCAAAATTTTCTGATTGTCGTGAGGAAAAGATCGATTGTCCGTTTTTTGGGGGGGGGGGGGGGGGGGGGTCGTAAAAATATCGAACTAGCGAAAGGACGCTGAGTGGGTCAGTCGCGGACACAGATTCATAGATCGATCATTCGATCAACCCATAGGTAGGAATAGCATTCACTTTTTTTTGTCGATGAGTTTGTTGAGTTTATTGTGTAATGGGAAACCTCTTGTATCTCAAACTTGCATTATTCATCTACTGGAGATTATTCTTTCAACCACATCATCTGCGTAGGTTGCAATATCTATGAAAAAAATCTCGTGTGTACATACATAAAACCTTTGATGAAAAGAAGTAAGAGGACACTATCTGCTCTAGCCAATTGAGCCAACCGAACTTTTCTTAATCTTCTTATTTAGCCATTTGAAAAAGAAAACAGTTGGTGGCAGCACAAAAATTATTCAATACAGTACATTCTAAAAAAAACTTTGAAAACGAAACGAATCCAGTTCCACACATCAAAGACATCCTTATAAACACACATTGTATAATAATTTCTTATACTTCAAATGGATACTTTTATCTAAAAAATCAATAATATATTTGATAAAAATTATATTATACACTGTCTACAAGAAAGTATTGGCAGTCAATTATTTAGCTTAAATTTTGGTAAATATTCATGCTAAATTTCATTACCATTCACAGAACTATTAATCTTCGTTGTTCGGTCTCGTTGCTCGTTTTTCTCGTCCTGCATCACGTACTTTCTGATCAGAAGTCTTTTTCTCATTTACTGTCACATTATTTGATACCAAGCTTTCGATATCACGAGAAAGAATCAAGTTTATGCTTAAGAGTCCTTCAGTAGAGGAATTAGCTACACAAGCTTAGCGGAATTTCGGACGTTCGTGTCAAAGTATTCATAAACGGTCTGCAAGAAGTTAAGAATGTAGGTGCCGAAGGCATGAGTGAATCTATTACTGACATTAATTGTGATATATTCCAATGACTTCTTAAAGTTTACATTATAGAATGCTCCCGCGATGCAGAATATTCATCGCAGATGAGTCTTAGAATCTGTGGTTAATAAGGATAAAACTTCTATTATTGTTATAGAAATACAGATGAAAAACAAGCAGTACTTACAGTATTGATCAAAATTCATCAATATCTTATAATAGATAAAATGCAGTTATAATGATAGGATAGCTTAGTTGTGCTCGAAAGCACTTTGCCATTTCTTTTTAGTACTTTAAATACCACTTTTTCCAACATTATCCCAAAAGTTTATTGATATTTTGGAGGATGATAAATATTACGATACGTATTACGATTGACATTGGAAAAAGATCCTGAAGTAAAAATATTTCGAGCTCATATGATTATTTTAAATCACTATTCAACTTACTTTCGTAAAAATTTATCTACAATAAAAAAACTCAAATGATATTTTAGCTCATATTTTTCTAATAAGAACGATTACATATGATTAATATGCAAAGTTATGCTATTTATTATAATTGATTTTACCCCCCACGAATGCTCAAAAAAAGTGCCCAGCCCATTCCAGTAGCCTTCCAAAGAAGTGCCCAGTCTAGTAGCCTTCCAAAGAAGTGCCCAGTCTAGTAGCCTTCCAAAGAAGTGCCCAGTCTAGTAGCCTTTCAAAAAAGTGCCCAGACCATTCAGTAATCTTCCGAAGAAGTGCCCGAGTGTATGAGAGATTCTGAGTGTTAGCAATCACGTCTTAAATACATTTTCGCCTATTTTACCCCCATTTTGCAAAATTGTGGGATTTTAGATCTAAAAACGAAAAACCATTGGTTTATTATTTTAATCCGTTTTGATGACATATTTTATATTTTGTATATAATGAAGCGTCGTACTACCCCAACGCAGTTTCGTACATTTTGAATGTCCAAGATCTTTTGAGACGCTCCGACTCCCCATTTAACTTAAAAACTTCTATGCGAAATACACAGATATATGAAAAATGAGATTCTAAGCATTTTTAATTTGTCACTCAAAATAGATTTTTATAATAAAATTTTGTGCTATTTGTATTTTTTGTGTCTCAAAAATTGTCCAAGATGTCCCGTGTACAACACTGTCCCAACGCACTCGGTTAATGTTAATAATTAACGTCAAGGATTGATTTAAGGTTAGGGTCAAAGTTAGAGCTAGAGTTAAGATTAAATTATATGTAAAATTGTCTCCCCGACATTATTAGTGCACCAAGCTAGATTTGCATCTTTTCATTTTCTTGTGTTGGATTTGGTTTGCTGGGCTGTTAGTCACACGTGAGCATGTAATTAGGAATCACAGATTCGTAATGTAAAGAAAGTGTTCTTTTTTTATTACGTTTGCGAGATTTATTATTATCACTCTACACATTACTCAAATAGTCGTGGAGTCATATTTATGATAATTCGTTAATCTGTTAATCGAATTTGTCTTTCAGCTGAAATATTTCAGGGTTGGCGGAAACTTTACTAATCGTTGTGGGGTTAATCAAAGATAAGTGATGGCTTCTCTGATATTTATTGTTACCGTTCCGTAATTACGTATTAATAACTTTTTCTAGTTACTTCTTTACAGGGCCTATAATTCGAAACATTTACTCTGGTGATCACAAAAATTCCGAATTCTGTTTTTAACTATAACTATTAATGGTATCTTCCATAAATTCGATCTATGATAAGTCATGTGACCTCGAAATCCGTGCGCAATAAGTTCGTCTTCTTTTATCATCAAGATAGGCTATCACTACTATTAATAAATATCTCCTTTGTATTTACTTAGTGTGTGGATAGTCCTATAGCAATACAGTACTGATATTCTGGTTGAATGTCCAGTAGTGCACAATAAATATTATTATTATAATGTAATTATTATTTAGTTATTGTTTGTATATTAATAATAAAGACAATCAAGTAATAGATATTTAATTAAAGGCATTTTATTTAAGTTATTAATTGGGCTAATTGCTACAACTTGCTTTTTTATAACATAAGAAAAGCATCTCTTATATACATAATAATTTAGTCTACATATTACAATACATTACTAAACATTACAACATGTTACTGAACATTATAACATGTTACTAAACATTACAACATGTTACTAAATATTATAACATGTTATTGAACATTATAACATGTTACTAAATATTATCACATGTTCAAATCACATGAAAAAAGTCACATGATTTCAATTTTGTCCAATAGAAATAAATAAATAATAATTAATTAATTTAAATAAATTTAAATAATTAAAAATATTAAATATAATAAAAATAATTAAATATCAATAAATAATTATGTTATAGAATATTTGAATCATAATAACACACATTAATTTTTTTAATATATAATTAGTGTTCCTATGAACTGAACTGAACCGGACTTTTGCCCGAGTTCGAGTTCGGTTCGAAATTCGAACCGAACTCGAA